CCCTGGATAAACCCCACTTGATCATGGTGCACTATCTTTTTAATGTGTTTTTATATGTGAATTGCCAGTATTTTATTAAGAATCTCTGCATCTGTGTTCATCAAGGATATTGGCCAGAGTTTGTTTCCTTGATGTGTTTTGACTGGTTTTGGTATCAGGGTGATACTGGCTTCATAGAATGAATTTTGGTATTTCCTCTTTTTCTATTTCATGAACTAATTTGAGGGAGTTGACTATTAGTTCTCCTTTAAAGATCTGGTAGAATTTGGCTGAGGATCCATCAATCCTGGGCTTTTATTTGTTGGAAGGATTTTGATAGCTACTGCAATTTCATTTCTTGATACTGATCTGTTTAAGTTTTCTATACCTTCATGGTTCAATTTGGATAGGTCATATATGTCTAGGAATTTTTCACTATCTTGCAGATTGTCTATACCAGAAATCAAATTATAACACAGACCTACAGTAACAAAACCAGCATGCACTGGCACCAAAACAGACATGACGACCAATGGAAGAGAAGACACAAAGACACCACATAATCACATTTATCTACATAAAGGTGCCAAAAACATATGTTGGAGAAAAGATAGCCTCTTCAATAAGGTGATGGGAAAACTGGATATCCATGTGTAGAATAATGAAATCTCACCCCTATCTCTCACCTTACATAAAAATCAACTCGAAGTAGATCAAAGTCCTAGGAATTAGATAAGAAAACTGCAACTGCTAGAAGATGTAGGCCCAGCACGCTATCATATCAGCACAGGAGCTGACTTCCTTAACAAGACTCCTAAAGTGCAAGAAATAAAACAAAAAATCAGTTAAGTGGGATGGCATCAAATTAAAAACGCTCTTCACAACAAAGGAAAAAATATGTGAAGACAGATCTGACAGAATGGGAGAAGATCCTTGCCACTTGCTCCTCAGATAAGGCATTAATATCCAAAATACATAAAGAACTCAAAATACTTAACATCAAAAACCAAATAACCCTTGGGCTGGGTTTATTGCTCAGTGGTAGAGTGTTTATCTAGCATGTGCAAGGCCCTAGGTTCGATCCTCAGCACCACATAAACTTAAGTAAATAAAATAAAAGGTATTGTGTCCAATCACAACTAAAAAAATTTTTTAAATAACCCAATTAATGGGCTGGGGATGTGGCTCAAATGGTAGCGCACTTGCCTACCATGCGTAAGGCACTGGGTTCAATTCTCAGCACCACATAAAAATGAAATAAAGATATTGTGTCCACCTGAAACTAAAAAAAATAAATATTTTTTAAAAAACCCAATTAATAAATGGGCAAAATAACTAAACAGATATTTCTCAAAAGAAGAAATTCAAATGGCCAACAAATATATGAGAACATGGGCTGGGGATATGGCTCAAGCGGTAGCGCACTTGCCTGGCATGCGTGCGGCCCGGGTTCGATCCTCAGCACCACATACAGACAAAGATGTTGTGTCCACCAAATACTAAAAAAAATAAATATTAAAAAAATATATATGAGAACATATGAATATATGATCAACATCTCTAGCAATTAGGGAAATGCAAATCAAAACTACACTGAGATTTCATCTCACCCCAGTCAGAATTGCAATTATTAAGAACAAATAATTAAAAAGTGTTGGCAAGGATATGGGGGAAAAGGTATACTCATACATTGTTGGTGGAACTGTAAATTGGTGCAACTAGTTAAGCAGTATGGAGACTGCTTAACTAACTAGGAATGGAACCGCCATATGACCTAGCTATCCCATTCCTTAGTATATATTGAGAAGATCTAAAATTGGTATACTACAGGGATACAGCCACTTCAATGTTTATAGTAGCACAGTTCACAACAGCTAAGCTATGGAACCAACCTAGGTGCCCTTCAACACTGAATGTATAAAGAAAGTGTGGTATATATACACAATGAAGTATTACTCAGCTATAAAGAAGAATGAAATTAGGGACTGGGGCTGAAGCTCAGTGGCACAGCGCTTGCCTTGCATGTGGGAGGCATTGGGTTCCACCCTCAGCACCATATAAAAAAATACACAAATAAAATAAAAGCATGCTGTCCATCTACAACTACAAAAAAATTTTAAAAAAAGAATGAATTTATGGTATTTGCTGCCAAATAGATGGATCTGGAGACTATCATGCTAAATGAAAAAAGCCAGACCCAAAAAAGTCAAAGGATGAATGTGGAAGCTAGTCTAAAATAAGGAGAGAAAGAGAGAAGGGATAAAAAGAATAAGGGAATTCCATCAAAACAGAAGAAAGATTGGTGTAGTAAATGAAGGGATTGACAGTAAGGGAGGAGGGACCTGATAAGGGAAGAACAATGGAATGAATCTGACCATAACTTTCCTATGTACATATATGAATATACCACAGTGCATCTCACTATCATGTATATCCACAAGACACTATTTTTAATTTTTTAAAAATGAACTAATTAATTAATTTTACAGTAGAATGCATTTTGACATATTGTACACAAATGGAGCACAACTTCTTATTCCTCTGGCTGCACATGTTTCAGAGTCACTCCACTAGTGTAATCATAGAGTAATAATGCACAAGACACTAAATTTAAAAAACTGTAAGTAAATAGCAGAAAAATCAGTAGAGTAGAGGGAAGGAAACGGGAGGGAAGAGAAGAGGAGAGGGAAAGGGGAATTCAGTACTGGGGACTGAATTAGAGCAAATTATATTCCATGCTTTTATAATTATGTCAAAATGAATCCTTAATTATCTATAAGAAAAAAGAAAATGCAGTCTAAATAGGTCTACCTTATTTTCAATTGCTGACTATTGTTACTGTATAGAAAACAATTGATATTTTTGTATATTAATTTTACCTCTTGCAATCTTGCTAAACTCACCAGTCCAGGGACCTGTGATTCCTTTTCCTTATCTGAATGCTCTCTGGTTGGAACCACCAGTACAATGTTGAATAGAAGCGATGAGAGTGGATCTCCTTGTCTCATTCCAAATCATAGGAAAAAGTATTCAGTCTTTCATCATTAAATATGATGTCAACTGTATGCTCTTCATAGTTTTCCTTTATCAGGTTGAGGTTGTTCCTTTTTAGTCCACTTTCCACTTTGCCAAGGTTTTCTTTTATTAGAAACCAATATTGGATTTTGTCAAATGCTTTTTCTGCATCCTAAGGTTTTTTTTTTTAATATGGTGTATTACATTAACTGGTTATTTTACATGCTGTGGTTTGGAAGTGTCCCCCAAAGGCCCATTATGTTAAAGGCTGCGCCACTGTGGCCCTATCTGGAGGTGCTGGAGTCTTTAAAGAGTTAAGTCACTAGGGGTGTTGCTCTTGAGGGGATAATGGTTGGCCTTGTAGACTAAGTTCCAATTTTTTGGAAGAGTTTGGATAGAATTAGTGTCATATCTTCCTTTATCAGTGTAGCCATGCACACCTTGAATTTTTTTTTCTCTCCTCCTCCTTTTGGTAATCTGTTTTCCATGATTTTCTCCATTTCAGCTAGTTGTTGAATTTATTAGCATAAATATATTCATGATATTCCTTTGTCAACTTTATAATAGCTTCTGTAGTATGCCACATCCCTCACTCTTGATATTGGTAATTTTTTCTTTCTCTTTATCTCCTGAACAATCTGACTAGAGATTTATCAATTTTATTGATCTTCTGGAAGAAGATGTAAAAATAATTTACTTTTATTTATTATTTAGCAACTTGGTTTTTCTACTAGTTTTTTGGTTTTTTTGGAAGCTCACTCTATATTTATATATTTACCTCTAGCCCATTAACTGCTTTTAGTATGCTTTTAATTAATATGCCACAACTTATTTACCCATCCTCCTGTTGATGGGCACATAAGATGGTCCCCACCCCCAACTTTTTTTCTGGTTCTAGGTCTTGAGACTGGGAGCATTTTACCACTGTACTACAACCCCAGTCTTTTGAGTCAGGGTCTCACTAAATTGCTAAGACTAGTCTCATACTTGAGATCCTCCTTCTTCAGGCTCTCAAGTTGACAGGATTAAAGGTGTATGCCCCCACCTGTTTTTGATCACACAAACTATGCTGCAAAGAATAGTCTTAATACGAATCTCCTTAGGCATACACAGATTTTCTACAGGGCAAATGAACTGTATTTATAGGCAGTAAACCTTCTCTTTAGTGTATTAAATTCTTTCAGATTCAAAATAGATGTATAAATTTTATACTTGCACTAGCAGTTCATGGGAGGGGGCAATTCTTTACATACTTTTTAACACTCAAGGGTGTCAGACATTAAAAAACCTAACATGACATCACTGCATTTTGGGAATGCAAATTAAAAGCAGAGAAATACCGCTACACACCTATTAGAATGGCTAAAACACACACACACACACCCAACATTAAACAGTATCTAATGCTGGCGAGGGTGCAGTGCGACTGGAACTCTCGTATACTGCTTGTAGGAATGTAAGATAGAACAGTGGTATAATCCAGCAATCTCCTAGGTATTTAACCAAGAAGGGTGAAAACATGCTCACACAAAAAGCTGCATGTGAATATTTATAGTGGCTTTATTCATAATTGTAAAGGGCTTGTCATAGGCAAGTTTATGTTTTTATTTGAGAGTAAGTTTGGATAGATATGAGGGAACTCCTGAAAGCAGTTAACCACTGGTGGGAACAGGGTCCAATCAAAAGAACACAACACCTCCAGAAAATTCTGTTTTCAGTTATATACAGGGCCAATCCAATTCTAAAATTCAATCATAATCTGCCCATGAAAAATCCTTGGAAACCAAAAGAAAGTATAGCAATTTGTTATACCTCATCAGTGACCAAAAATGTTCATCTAGAGGCTAATAAACATATGCTTAGGATACGACAGAAAAGGAACTAGTGTAGAGTTTGCAGATGAAATATAGGATGTCCAATTAAATTTTAATTTCAGAAACCACTGTGATTTTTGCATGGGACATACTTATACTATCTTGTTTAATTTATTTTGAGAAGAAATTCAATTACTTATACAAATAATTATTTATTAACATGTCAGGTCTTAAGCTTTTTTTTACAATAGTACTTTTCAAAATGAATTCTGCATGATACAGACAACAAAATGAAGACAGCTTCATAATTACTTTAACTACAAATACCAAAATTATAAGTACTACCCTTCTTATTCTATTTAAAGAGGTACATAATGGGTCCCATATGAATGAACAGCATTTTTGTTTTGTTTTGTTTTTGTGCTTGTCAACATGGAAAACAATTTTGTAAAATAAATAAAGGACTAAAAAAATTTCTAGTTTTATTGTGAAAACACTAAAGTACATATTTGCTGGATTGCAAACTCCACTCTAATAGTCATTCAATCTTCATCACTGATAAATGCTACCACAGTGTACCTTTCCTTTAATGGAATAAAAGGCTGTGGGTAACCACATGACAGTGAAGGAGAGAAGGAAAAGCAACTCATCAATTAATAATTTCAGTTGGAGAGGAAATGTTATCTAAGTCTATCCTATACTTTCCAAATGATATTTCAACTCCATCTCTTTGGTTTTTCCCCTTTTCCATGCTGGTGATTGATCCCAGGGTCTAGCACTTGTTAGGCAAACACTCTACCACTGAGCCCCATTCCTGGACCTCAATGCCATCACTTGAAAAAAAGAAACCTGAACACCTCGTTTGAATTTCTGGCTTTGCGTATAAAAATCACTAATAACAAAACAGAAACAATAGCATTGAGAGTAATTTTTCTCGATTTAAACAATTTTTGACTACCTTACTTTATTAGAGATAGGACTAGGCACTTTGTGGAACACACCCATGACTAAGGAGCACTTAAGGAACTCATGATCTAGTAGGGCAGAAGCACACGTGGACAAGTAAACATAATAACAAGTAAGCTCTCAGGTAAAACACTACAGGGCAAACAAGAGGATGATATTCTATGGTGGTGAGAAGTCAGCCAAAACTTCATGGATACGTGGCTCAAGACAGCTCTAGGGACTAGGGTTGTGGCTCAGTAGTAAAAGCTCTAGCCTAGCATATGTGAGGCATAAAAATAAAAACAAAGGTATTGCATTAGTCTACAACTAAAAAAGAAAGAAAGAAAAAAGACAGCTCTGGGCAAGGGATGAGAGTGGCAGAGGAACAGAAGAGCAAGAAGTAGAGATGGTCAGTTGCAAAGTTTGAGCAGTACCTGAATGGTTCTGTTTAACCTGGCCCCGTCCCAGGTCTGCTCTAACCCTGGCTCCTTAGTACCAAATTCTCCTTCCCTATGTTCTTGGAATGCTAGAGGATCCATCTCTCTCCTCCCATTTCCTAGTCAAATAATCCTCACGGGGGCTCAAATTCAGTGTTGCTGTCTCTGCAAAGTCTTCCAGACCACCCAAGCAAGCCTTCATACTAGCTGAGCTCTTGAATCAGGTGATCTCATAGCACACCAAAACTTCATATTAGGTCACTTGTTTTAATATCTACCCCACTTGATTACACATTCCATGAAGACAGGGACCTTCTTCAGTCTTCTTCACTTTTGTGGCTCCTGGCTTAGCATTATTAGCATAATACCTGCCACACAGAAGATACTCAATAAATTATTGATGAATTAATTCTGATAAGGTTTTGTGTGTTGCTGAAGTTAGCTTTAAATGTTTTCATAATTTGATAACTATGTTAACTTACAGGGCTCATAAGAAAGGTACATAAATAAATTAATAGCTTAATCAATATAATTTCCATAATTTAAAGCAATTTCACAGATAGTATGTAGTAGTCTTCTAAATGTGCTAAGTACAACCATCTTTCCTAGTAAAAGACAGTTAAACTGAATATTTAGTACAAAAACAGCAAACAATAAAGGCACACATGGTAAACTAAAATTAAATATCTTGATTTTACAGATAAAACCTTCCATTTTAGGTATTAGAGTGTCTTTGCCCTTTTACTTTCTTAGTCACATGTAAGAACTATCTAAATTTTAGGTAAACTCAAAACATGCCCAATATTTGAACTGTAATGCCTAATAAACATTCACTTAATTTTATAACCTTTTCCAGGCCCCAAATGAAAAGAATTTTAAGTGTCTATATGTTTATTCAATGAATATATCATTTACTCTCTGTAGCAACACCCCAATACTTCACTACCAAATTTATATCAATTAGAAGGGATAGACAGTACTCAAACTAAAAACTTAGTTATCTCAGATTTACTGATTTGCCTCTGAAAATATCTCAATGTCTAAATCTAAGGTTGCTTCCTAGTTTCAACTAGATTTGAATGACACATTTTTTTATTTGTATAAGTACTAGAAAATATTTAATTAAAAGGCTGAGTAATACACTGAAATGCTTTGTTTTTTGAAATCTGATTTTTCCAACTATAAAGTTACTGGCATTTGGGGAAAAAGCAATAACTTAAATGAACACTAAAAATATAAAGCCTATGTTTAAAACATAGCCTTTATTAATACTGACCGCTGAGCTCCATTTTTATTTTACATTGAAATACTTCTGCTTTGCAAAGAAAAGACAGAAAAGTGCATTTTACAAGAGTACTTTTTTTGTTTTTAATTCTCTGAGAAAATGGAAGGAATCTGAATCACAAGTTCACAATGTGGTAAAATGAAATTAAGAAACAATGATTTCAGTAATGCTATGCCATCACTAGTGTTTAGCTCTGACTTTGTTCTTGTAAATCAGATCCTGATATACAGTCTAGAGCATCTAGGTTATACTCTACAGCGTATTAAACACAGAAAAGGAGGTTTAAAAAAAACCCCTTTCAATGTACAAACATGAATGTAAAAATTGCTTTTAAAAAATCACTTTTTACATAATGTATATGCAAAACTGCTTTAAATACATGATTTTGGAAGAATTATTTACAAAATGTATCAGCCTGTGGAACAATTCACAGACAAAGCATACATAGTTGCTTTACTTAGTTGTTGCATCTCAACTTTGGGAGATATAAATTTATTCGGCAGTATAGCAAACATAAAACTGTGACAAAATTTCTGAAGGGCAACCAAAAATTTGATCCTTAAAACAGTTTAAATACTAGGACTGCCAAAGTTTCTAAATAAGGACATACTTCAATGATCCAGATGCCCATTTATAGTTCTATTCTGTTTGAAGGACTGAGACAGACTCCCTTCAGTACAGGCCAGGCTGCTGGAGGTACCTCCTGTAAAAGGGACAGCTGAGAGCTAGCGTCATCCAAAGAGTGAATTAACCTAGAATTTTCTTTTTTTCAATTTTATTAATATTTTAAAAAATACATAAAAATACAACATCCAATGTCTGAATAAATATATTTAACAAGTTGCAAGATAATACCTTATTTTACACAAAATTTTCAGCTTTAGAAATCTTGTTAAATAACTTCATTGTTGTTATATATTTCATTTTTGTATTTTTGTAACAAAATAAAAACTCTGAAATTACATAGAAAAAAGACAAAATATTTTTGTCAAGGGATAAGATAGTCCACTGAAAACTTATTCACAATTCCACTGTAAACATTAATAAACATTAAAATATTTGCATAATTGTGTGCTCAAAAGTCCTATAAAAAGTGGAAGACTTATTACAACTGTAGTTTTCAGTCAACTACACTTCCTTTCACAATTTATTTTGTCCCATTTACACCTTTAAACCTGGGCACACTGCTGAACATATACTTTGGCAGTTCTAAATAGCAAGTGCTTCCACAGAAATTAAAAAAAAAAAAAAAACCATCAATAACAATAAAAAACACAACATAAACCCCCTACTCACCAAGTATACAAATACATCTTAGTGAAAGTGCAGCAGTATCTATTCAGCTGGATAATATTTTGATGTTTACCATGTGCACTTGCTTGTCTATGATTTCTATAACACCTGAAAAGCTTTATTTTACAAATTCAAATTTGCTAAGTGCCCTTTTTTTCTATATCACAAAAAATGAAAAAAATAAAGAGGAAAAATTATAACAAATATGGCAGGCTGCCTAACCTTCAATTATTAATCAGCTTTTTTTTTTTTTTTTTTTTTTTTTTGCAACAAGATAAAACAAGAGAAAAGGGAATAGATACAATCCAGCCTGGAAAAGTACACAGGATATACTTAGCAATGTCAAACCAGTTGAGTGCTCTCTGTGGTTGTATTTCAGGGTTTTGGAATTTATGTCCATGGCAGCAAACTGCTGGGAAGGCAGAGAAAATGTTTATCACCTGCATTCTACAGCAAGGACATTTTGTGGGGGAGATGATGATGAGGGACTCATTCCAGTGTCTGATGAAGCAGATGACATAGAGGCTCCTGCATGAGACACTGTAGAATAAAAACAATGATGTTGGAGTCAGAAATGATTGCACAGAGATACCTAGTGGATGGCAAAGTAGAAATAAGATTCTTAACATTTTCTTTATTCATTGGTCTCTTCAGTGTTACATGATGGGATAACAAATGCCAGCAAATATTTTGACTCAATTGAATGGAATCAGTCCTTAGTCAGTTATGTAACCAAAAGTTCAAAATAGACACCACAGGGTTGGGAGTGTTGCTCAGTGGTACAGCATGTGTTCGGTATATGCAAGGCCCTGGGTTTAATCCCTAGCAGTGAAAAAGGGAAAGAAGAAAAAAAAAAAAGACACCACAAAATGTAAAGATTAGAGAGATTAAACTTTTAAACCCCTACTTGAAAGATCCCAGTAAAGGACTTGGCTTGACCCAAATCAGAAACATCCAGAGAATTTCCGTAAATATCAGCTATCACAATTGTGCAGGTTATAGCAATGTGGGTGTATGATTAGGGGAAAATCCTCAAAGACCTTTAACCTAACTTTAGAGGGAAAGTGTTTTGCCAGTTTTCAGACTTTTTCCTTTATTTTCCCTTTTTGCTTTTATCTTCTCTCTCTTTTCTTTTTTTTTTCCAAAACTTTCCTTCTCCAATCTTTTTTTTTTTTTTTTAATGGTACTGGGGATTGGATCCAGGGGCACTTTACCTAAACTGAGCTATATCCCCATATCCCCAGACCTTTCTACTTTTTAAATTCTGAAATAGGGTCTCCCTAAATTGTTGAGTCTGGCCCTGAACTTGTGATACTTCTGCCTCAGCCTCCCCAGTCACTGGGATTAAAGGTATGTGCCACCATGCCCAGAGCTTCTCCTGCCAATCTTTGCCTACTGGTTCCTATTTAAAGTTTTAATTATTATTCAACAGTATCTGTGTACTGGGCATGTGGCACATACCTATAAAGTAATCCCAGGACTTAGAAAGCTGAAAAAGGAGGATTGCAAATTTGAGGTCAGCCTCAGCAATTTAGCAAGGCCCTAAGCAACTTAGTGAGACCCTGTCCCCAAATTAAAAATTTAAAAAGACTGGGGATGTGACTCAGTGGTAAAGCATCCTGGTTTTAATCACCAGTCCAAAAAAAAAAAATTTGTAGATGTGTGTGATTATCAATAGATATGTTATTAATTGTAAAAGATTCTTGTTTGTATGCTAGAAATCACTTCGTCTCAATTTAATAACTTACTATAAAAATTTCCAAAGAATAAAAAAGGAAGGAATCTTTTTAGTTGTCTGAAACTTACATCACCATTAGGAAACTGAACGCAAGAAGTGGGGAGTTCTCTGAAGAAATTTATTAATTTGTTCTTTTCTTCTTTTTGTGTTTAAAAGTACTATAAAGACTTCTATGCTAAAAATTTTTTAAAGAAAAGGACAGAGTCTGATCGTTTTCCATTTTGCTCCATGCTATTCCCAGAAACTAAAAACTGCTGGAGCCAACTGTGTTGGCACATGCCTGTAATCCCAGTAACTCAGGAGGCAGAGGAGGAGAATTACAAATTCGAGACCAGTCTCCCCAATTTAGCAAGACCCTGTCTCCAAAGAAAAACAAATTAAAAAAGGTCTGTGGATGGAGCTCAGGGGTAGAGCACCCCTGGGTTCAATTCCCAGTACCAAAAAAAGGCTGGATTTGAGTGATTCAAGACCACGCGACACAAGTTATTTTATCAGTAATTCCTTCTAAATCTTTACCGAGGGCAGAAAATTTGTCTCCATAAAGCCAAGCCTGTCAGTTAATTCACCTTGTACTTAATTATTTTTGAGATGAACTCCTGGAGCCCTTCTGCCTGATTCTGTTCCATCCTATTTCTGGAGTAGGTGCTTTCCAGGCTTGCTATGCAGCGGTCATCCTACAGCTTCCGTTCGCCATCCCATCCCCCTGAGATTTTCCTTTTCTATTTTTCTCTGTGGGATTGCCTATTTGCTGGACTGCATATCGTTTCTTAGCTTGGCTTCTAAATCTGACTTAAGAAACTTGATGCTGTTCTGAGACTTATTTCTTTCAAATGTACCTTCATAAAGTAAACTTTTAGAAATCTTTATCCACAGGATTCTAAAATTTCAAGAAATGCTTTGCTATTACCCTTTTCCTGTCCCCTCATTCTTTATAGAGGGTACAGTGAGTCCTTTCAATCTTCTAGTTTCATTTCCTTCAGTTCTGAATTGTTTTTGTTTTTCTTGTACCAGAGACTGAACCCAGGGTTGCTTAACCACTGAGCCACATCCCCAGCCCTTTTTTATATTTTATTCTGAGGGCTGGGGATGTGGCTCAGTGGTAGAGCACTTGCCTAGCATGTGTGAAGTACTGGATTCGATCCTCAGCACCAAATTAAAAAATAAAAACATAAAGTTAGATTTTATTCTGAGACAGGATCTCAATAAGTTGCTTAGTGCCTTGCTAAGTTGCTGAGACTGTCTTTGAACTTCTGATCCTCCTGCTTCAGCCTCCCAATCAGCTGGGATTACAGGCAAGTGCCACTGTTTCTGGCCCCTGAATATTTTTAATAGTGTACCTTTTGCTTAAAAAAAAAAAAAAAAGTTATACTGTTTTCCCTCAAGTTCCTTTTTGGTCTCTTTATCTACTTTAGCATCTGTTTTATATACAGGCTTTCCTCAATTATCTGGTCATGTGGCTCCCACATTGAAGAGAGGGGCATCAGGAGGCTAACTGGAAGCTGTCTATGAACACTGAGGCTTTTCAACATATGCAATGCACATGCACTGATTAGCACAGATGTTACTTTCTGGTACAGGAACATCCAAATGTTGGTATTTATATTAGGTCTTTCTTCCTGTGGTGGTCAATTTCTTCAGAATCTCCTCCCAGGAATGGGCAAAAACTTGGCTACATCTTTCAGTGAGCCAAGAGGATCAAATCCTAGGCTGGAAGATGGACGGGAGTCTTACTATTCAGTGTTCAAACTTTTTGCTCAATCTATAACTTTTGATTCAACCTTACTCTCACTTCTAGGTATGGCTGGTGTCCCCGAGTCTAAAAACCTACTTTCTGTTAAGTTAATCTCCTGTTTTATCCTGGACATGAGGAAAGCCGTAACCTTGTTTTACAGAGGGGGATAGGAGGATCTAATTTCTCTTTCCATTTTCACCCAATCTCTATTTTTGCGGCATCATCCCACATCCCTGCCTTCAGAGCTTTTCTGGAATCAGGTGGTATGAACTGGCTTGCTGCTTGTTTTGTCTCATTGTAAGAATTGTCTCATCTGCTAGGAGAGTTACAATAGTCCATTGGCTGCTCAGCTATCAAAAGACATGCTGTTGACATTTATTTTCTCCTTTAGTCAGCTGTCTTATTCTCTATTCTTTTTAGGTATAGAGTTTTAAGGTTTTTTTAATGAGTAAACCATTATTTATTCATCCATCCCTATTTATGAATGTTTAGGCTATTTTCCATTTTCCTCTATTTCAAGACAGTGCAGTAAAGAACATCTTTGTATAGTTGGTTTTGGCCACAGGAATAAGGATTTCTCTAGGTTTGAAGGATACACCTAGAAAAAGAATGTATTCTGCATATTTTTAGGTTTTGTGGGTACAATAGTTCTCTAGAAATAGTTATACTAAAATTGTTCTTTCATAAACAGTATATAAATTCCAGTTATCCACATTCTCTCCAACACATTTAATTAGAAGTCAACCCTACACTTTATTTTGTGTGGTGTGTATGGTGCTGGGGATCAAACCCAGGGCCTCCTGTGTGACAGGCATTCACTCTACCACTGAGTCACACTCCAAGTCCAATCCTTCATGTTTTTAAGATCTAACTGGGATACTTTATCCCTTTAATGATTACTTCAAAGTATCCTGTCCTTCCACTAACTCCTACACTGGTTAATGTAATTCCTGGCTGTCCTTCTAGATGTTCACATTTTTGAGATCAAAGTCTGCACTCATTTAATTCATCTTTTCCATTTTACCAACTGGCAGAGCACCTAGCACATGATGAAGTAGTCATTAATGATGGTGAACTGCACTGAATTATACTACAGTTGCTTAGAAAATGACTTACTGCCCCAACAAGATAATCCCCTTGAGGATCAGCCTTATATCTTATTTATTTTAATGACCCTCATAATAACAAATACAGTGTCTGTGAATAGGCACTCAATAAATTCCTGTTGATCAAAGAGTAAATTTCAGAGAAAGTCAGATCTTCTGGAGAACCCACCACATTTAGTAAAATAAAAAATTGTATAACTTAGTTCATACTCCCTTTCAGAGGTCTCATACTGACTAATTCAGCTGCTAACCCATTCACTTTAGTAAATGCAACAGAAAAAAACACTAGGAATCTAAAAGCAATAACTAATAAATGTATATACCATACTCAGAGAGTGACAAACAAATCTTCTAAATTGATAGTATATTTGGAAAAAAAATGAGAAAAAAATTAATAAAATTACCTTCTCTGTCTTTCTTTTTTAATCTTTTTCTTCTCCTGTCTATGGTTGCAACTTCAGACTTCAAAGACATGTAATATTTTCTGATTTCCTGTAATTTTTCTTGAAGAAAAGAGATTCTCTCTGTACTATTCATATTATCTAATTCATCTAAAAGGGAAAAAATTTATTTTAAAATCTATGACAAAAAAGATAGCAGTTCTATCAAAAATCTAAATCATAAGTGAACAAAAAGCTTAGTTTATTAAAGCATACCATAATAAGCTCAATAAGGCTCTTTAAAAAGGTAAGATATGAATTAAATTCATGATTAAGCATCCTTACATATCCAAAATTTCTATACTCAACATGCATTACATAAATGAACACAAAGCAACCCTTATCTATATATAAGTATTATTTTAAATTACTGATATGACAAAAGGCACCTCAGTTTAATCAATTTATATCAGACTGGTTCTTTTTTTTGGTACTGGGGATTAAACCCAGGGGCACTTCACCACTAAACCACATCTCCGGCCCTTTATTTTATAATTAGTGACAGGGTCTTGCCAAGGCACTTAGAGTCTTGCTAAATTGCTAAGGATGGCCTCAAACTTTTGATCCTCCAGAGCCGATGGGATCACAGGCGTGTGCCACCACACCCAGCCATGTGTCTTTTTTTTTTTTTTTTTAGTTATACATGGGCACAATATCTTTATTTTGTTTATTTATTTTTATGTGGTGCTGAGGATCGAACCCAGCGTCTCACACGTTGAGAGGCGAGTGCTCTACTGCTGAGCCACAACCCCAGCCCCATATGTGTCTTCTTAACTGGCAATCTCATCAATATTTATCAAGTTAATCTTATAAAAAGTTACAGATTTGTATTTAAGATAACAAGTAGTGATTAATGATTTGGAATACATAAATAATTTGTTAACCATTATTCCTTATTAAGTTGGCATTTTAAATATACTCCACTTTAGAATATATATTCATGTTATCCATAAGCTGCTTACTGAGTTGAAAGCTCCACTTATATGTCCTAGGAGATGAATTTGGATGTTTTTCTCTGTGTTTCTCTTTCTCTCCATCTTTGATATGAGGGGAGATTCTTGCAGGTGATCGTGTAAGCTTCTGAGGCTTAGACACACTAAGGTGTTTCACTGGGGTACATTTACTTGAATTGTCCACAGCTGGGAGATCTTCACTATCACTGCTTTGTCCTGTAACAACAACAACAAGTTTACTTGGAGACTATAAATGATAAAAACCTAAATGCAACAGACTCAGCAGTTACACTTCTTTTTTACACACACATAGATTTTAATGATTTCCAAAAAAAAATTGTTAATTTAGAAAAAAAAAAAGCAGTACATTTTCAGCAATATTATTGCCAGAGACTCTGTCTGCTCAGTCCACACATAAGAAGTAGTTGCTTTCTATGGTGATATGGTTTCTCTGTACTAATTCCCAAAACATTACAGCAGGGAAGTATAGACTGAATTGTTGCACAAAGGAACATTTACTCACCAGATCCCACCGATCTCTCCTGTACCCGCTTCCTGGGCAGCCTTCCTGATGAAGCTTTATTGATTTGATTCAAAGTTTCTTGAGGAATCCAACTCATGTCAACATCATTCTGACTTGATGTACCCATTTCTACTTTCTGTATGTGTCTCTTGCACTTTCTAGATTCTAGGAGTTGATGAAGGCCAACACCAGAAGTCCAAGACCAGCAAGGAACATATACATAATGTTTCTCCATCTAACCCATCTTCTCTTTTAATAACTGTAACCAGTTGATTGAAGACAGCATCTTGGAATACATTGCCATTCAAGTCTTTGTAATTCAGATTGATGACCAGACCAAAGGGTCGTCTACCCATGGGCTCTGCAGGAATGAATACTCAAAATTGGCCTGTCTCTGGAGTGGTACTACAGTGTTCAGAGGAAGAGCTTTGAAATTCTGGATATAAAACTGATAGTCCTGAGGATAACGAAATGAGGAATCTAGGGATTCGACAATAAAATCTTCTGTACCCTTGTTTGTAAAGCCTACCAAGAACCTCACTATGTTATTTGCTGGAAAATCTTCTCCTTTCAGAAACAAGATAGTTGTATCTGCATTTGGTGATGCTTCAGAAGAAGATAAATCTTCTTCCTCTGTTTTTATCTTCTGCCAAATCTGTGGGTTCATCTTCTTCTACCTCAGCTTCATCATCTTCATCTTCAATTATTGAATCTTCCACTATTTCTTCATCCTCTCTAAGATACTGAGCCAGCAAGAGAAGCAGAAGCAGGCGGGGGAGGAGTCTCATGGCATGGCCAATCCAGTCCCAGTCAGCGAGTGCTCCTGGCGGCTCTGGCGTTACTCTTCATCCCCAGTTACACTTCTTAGTATCATATCGGCAATCTCATATTAGAAGATACTTTTGGTTTTCCCATAAAACACATTGGAATTGTCAATTTTATTTCCTTTTTTTTTTTCAAGCTCTACCCCTTACCTCTGACCTAACTTCACTCTCTAAAGCCAACCTTGCCTTCTACTAAAAAGGCAAAGCTGAGGTTTACACATTCAGTTTCCAAGTCCCTTTCCTACCTGTATTTGTCCTTATTGTCTTTTTATTTTTTTGGTTTCAAAAAAGAGTTTCTGGACAAACTGATCTTTTCAGCTACGCTCTTAAGACCAGCTGTACCAGCTCCTCTCCAACAACCAATGTCAACTGTCTGTATTCTCTTCTTTGGTTCCCAGAGTGCACAGCATGCTTAGATCTTTCCACCCTTGAAAAAAGAGAAGGAGGGAAGAGGAGAAGACCTCGCCCTTTAACTGGCACCTCTTTTCCTTGGAAGAGAAACTCTTGTTAACCTGACTTCCATAGTCTAACCACACCTCTATGCTGTGGTTAGGGTCCCAAACTTAAACTACTGGTTCAACTCAATTATGTATTTCAATCCTACTTGAATATTCTACAGCATTTGAAACTTCTTATTCAAATCTCCTAGTGTTTACTAACTTCAATTTATCTCTGGTGAGTTTCCACACTCTTCCTCCTGGCCCACATAAAGGGTTATGCCACACTGTTTTTGTTCCTTTTTCTGCTCATTCTTTTAATTCTTTCATGGTAATCTCATTCTCTTTCGAGTCTCTGACAACTATCTTCTAAAATCCGACTGATTTCTAAGCCCAGATCCTTATTTCCCTAATATTGGGTACCTTTAAACATTCTCCAAATTTCTCTTCCTATAGCCTGCTACTACTCCCATATTCCATATCTCAGGTAACTAATTCCTAATACTTGACCAATCCTAATGATTTTATTTATTTATCTTATTAACTAAATCCTAGTGATTTTATTTACCAAATCTCTTTAATTATTTCCTCTTTCACTGCTTTTTAAACCAGATTCTAGTAAAATTAGTCATGTCCTTTCTTCCTTTTTTTTTTTTTTTGGTACCAGGGATTGAACTTAGGGGAACTCGACCACTTAGCCACATCCCTAGCTCTATTTTGTATTTTATTTAGAGACAGGGTCTCACCGAGTTGCTTAGTGCCTCACTTTTCCTGAGGCTGACTTTGAACTCGTGATCCTCCTACCTCAGCCTCCTGAGTCTCTGGGATTACAAGCGTGAGCCCTTATACCTGGCCTCCTTTTTTAATCTTCTAAACTTTGTATCTGAAATAATCTTCAAATCTACAAACATTACCCATATTATTTTCTCACCCAATTGCTACACTAGAGTACTTCAGTGTGTGATATTTCTACAGACAACATTCTCTGTGTCAGTTATCTGCTGCTGTATTACAAATTAGTCCCAAACTTAGCAGTTTAAAACTGCAAATGTGTTCATTATCTCACACAATTTTTGATTATCAGAATCTGGGAGCAGATTGTATGGTCTGGCTCAGGAATCTTGTGAGGTTACACTTGAACTTTGAGCCAGGGCTTTTGTCTTTGAAGACTTGACCAAGGCTGGAAGATATTCTTCCAAAGTGGCTCACTCACTCTCTCAAGCTATTGGTACAATGCCCCCAGTTCTTCAACATACGGGCCTCTGGACAAACTGCTTGAATATCTTCCCAACAGCAGACTTCCCCTAGAACAAGCCATCCAATGAAGAATAAGGAGGAATTTGGTGCCTTTTATGACCTATTTTCCAGAGTCACACTCTGTCACTGCCACTTTGTTAGAAATGGGACATTGAGTTCATCCCACACTAAATGGGAGGGGATTTAGGTTTTCTTTCTTTCTTCTTTTTTTTTTTTAATATTTATATTTTAGGTGTCGATGGACACAACACAATGCCTTTATTTTTATGTGGTGCTGAGGATTGAACCCAGGTCCCGCCCGTGCTAGGCGAGCGCTCTACCATTGAGCCACAATCCCAGCCCCTAGGTTTTATTTCTTGAAGAGAAAAGTATCAATGTATATGTGGATATTTATTAAAATACCACACTCCTACAGAACGATGATAAAGCATCAATATCAGAAAGTTAGCACAGATATATTACTATCATCTAATCCTCAGATCTCCAGTTGCCCCAATTATACCCTTTATAGCAGTAGTATCCAGGTAAAAATCATGTATTGCATTTAGTTGCCACATCTCTGTCTCTAAAGTCTCCTTCATGCTGGAACATTTCCTCTTTCCTCAATGTTCATGACCTTTTTAATTTTGAAGATTATAGATTAGTTATTTTACAGAATATCCTTTAGCTTAAATTTGTTGATGCTGCCTCATGATTAGATTCACATTATGCATCTTTGATAGGAATATCACATATGTGGCTGCTAATGTCCAGTGGGACACTGTTTCAATAAGGATGGTGTTCACTTTGATTATTTGACAAGGTGATGACTGCCAGGCTTGCCCACTGTAACATTACTCACATTCCCTTTGTAATTCCTAAGACTTTTATATACTCACCTCCTATCGCGCTCTTTTCCTTAGACTACACTATATAGCTGACAGTAACCCCCGACTACTAGAATGCCTTTTATCCTGTGTAAATCATATGTTCTTTCCTTGAACTATATGTCTGTTGTAACCTAGAACTTCCTTTTCAGACTTGTATGAAGGCATATTTTAGAGGTTAAACTTTTAATCTATCAAAATCAATTGCATTTATTTCTACCACATTCTCTTATTTAATTTTATTCATCGCACAAAATTTTTTTCATGTAATCTAATCCATTCATATAGATTTACTAATTTTTTTAATCAATAAGAATTGCCCTTATTTCTCCATGTTTTAAAATTACCATACTATCTACAAATTAGATTTTTTTTTTAGCTCAGAGGAAAACATTCCCTGCAAAAACGTAAATTTATCTACTTTTTTTTTTTTTATGTGTGTGTGTGTGGTACTGGGGATTGAACCCAGGGCCTTGTGCATGTAAGGCAAGCACTCTACCAACTGTGCTATATCCTAAGCTCCTTTATCTGTTTTTAACACCAGAGTAATTGTATTTTTCTTTTGAGTCCCTAACATGTTGCACTAATATTAAACTGCTTTCCATAAGAAATACACATAAAATCAGTATAAAAAATAATTGCATCTATCCCAGTTCTAAGTAAAATTGATATGTACCTTCAGATTAAAGTTGATGAAAAAATATAATAAACTAGATTTATTTTTAAACAGATACAAGCCAGGATCAAAACCAGCAAACTGCTGAAATGACTACCACCCTACAGAAGCCAGCACTGAAAAGCACTGACCTGCTCCATTCTTGTCATTTTTGGCTACAGCACTTGTTCGCTTTGGGGTGCGCTTTTGTTTTTTTGCCATTAATCCACTATTTCCATCGCTTGGCCTTTTCTGACCTGAAATAAAGGGAAAGAGATAATTTGAAAACAACACAAAAAATATTTTATTATATAAATTGAAAATTATATAATTTGAAAACAACACAAAAAACATTTATTCATCTATGTACTCTACATTTACTTCTATATGAACACTTTTTATTTTGGTACTGAGAATTGACCTCAGGGACACTCGACCACTGAGCCACATCCCTAGCCCTATTTTGTATTTTATTTAGAGACAGGGTCTCACTGAGTTGCTTAGTGCCTCGCTTTTGCTGAAGCTGGCTTTGAATTTGTAATCCTCCTGCCTCAGCCTCCCGAGCCGCTAGGATTACAGGCGTGCACCACCACTCCTGGCTATATATACATTTTAAAAGATTATTTATTTATTTATTTTAATTAGATATATGTGACAGCAGAACGCACTTTGATTCGTTGTACACAATTGCAGCACAACTTTTCATTTCTCTGTTCACAATGTAGTGTTGCACCGTATGTGCACTCATACATGTACCTAGGGTAATAATGGCCATCGCATTCCACCAGCTTTCCTGCCCCCACGCCCCCTTAAATACACATTTTTAAAAGAGAAAAGAAAAAAAGATGGTACTTAAATCAGCAGTACCTGAAACTCTTAACTTTTACTTTAACACAAAGGCAAGTGTTTCCCTGGCAAGCCTTACCTTTCTCCCTGCTCTCTCGTTCCTGTACAATTATATTGCAAGTACCAGTGGCAGCACTGGCTTCAAACCCATTTGCTGATTCCCTCTCACAGAGACCTTCTTGAGACTCTTCAGCAATGCTGTCAACCTCAATCGTTACGTCGCTCTCACTTTTTACACTTCGAGACTCGTCCTGAGAGAGAGTAAGTGGTGAAGCTGCTGAGAAGTTATGCTGAGCTGTAGGAGGGAGGGCAGGTGGGACAGAAACGAGGGAGTTGGACTCAGAGCTCTCAACTACCACCTCCTCAATGCTGGTCTTTTCCTTCTCATCCAGATCATCCAAATCTACTTCATGGCACACCAAGGTTTCGGGCCCAATCAGAGGCATTGCCTCTTCCTCTTCTTTCAGTGGTGTATTCACAGTTTCTTCAGCTGGACTATCAAGTTTTTCACCACTGGACTCTTGAGCACATTGGTTCGACTCTGCTGTTAATGATGGCATTCCTTCATTTTCTGTTTCAAAGTGCTGTTCGAAATTTAAGTTTTTTATTCCCTCAGATCCAATACAATCACCAGTCCTTTCTTGAGACACACTATTTGTCATTTCTGTTCCATTCTCCAGTCTTATTTTTTTCTCTGGTGATGACTGTCCTAATATTTTCCTTTTCAACTTTTTTTCTTTCCCATATTGGTCAATTTCATCTTCAGTAGCACAAGAAAAGTTTTTACCGTCTAATGAGGAAAATTCAAGACTATGAGTTTCTATGTGAGGTTCACTTCCTGCTTCATCGGGGCTAAATGATGAAATCTTTAAAATTTCTAAAGAAAGATCTTTTGTTTTGCTTCGCCTTCCCTTTCCTTTAGGAGATTTTTCTGCCTCTTTCTTAACTTCTTCTACTTGTTCCACTTTGTTTCCAAATATCTGCACTATTTGTTCATTCTCTCCAACTTCTAACTTCAGGGTTTCTAAAGGCTGCATTTGAGTCCTATCATTTTCTTTTAATATATGTGCAGCAATCTTTGGATTTTCTTCATCTAGTTTATCATCATTCAAATTTTCATTTTTTTCGAGTTCTTCCTTAATATCAGGAGAGAGTTCTTCATTTATCAAATTCTTTTCTAAAGGATCTTCTGTTTCACTATCAGATGAGCAAGAGTCTGCAAGAGAAAAAATTATTATACTATACAGGCTTTTATCTTAATTACCAATGTAATCTTATAACAAAAATCTTACAAAATATAATCAAAACCCTTAATCATGTACTTCCAAATACTCCCCACACAAATTTCCTACATAAAATAAGCTATAACATTTGTGACAAAAATTTAGAAGAAGGGGATTTCAAACTAAATTCTGTGAAGATACAATAAATAGCATATTACTATCTCAATGATATATAAAAAGCTGTTTGGTCATTTTCCTTAGTATCATATTTAGGTTACAATAGCACGTAGCAAAGTCAAATGACAAGTACTAAGAAGTTAGTATGTTAAGCAGTTTGATCTAAGATCTAGTATGTACTAATATTAACCATTTTGGGTCCTAAGAAGGGAATATATGACATTCCATTTTAAACGATTCTGGAAAGACGACTATTTAAAATGAGCAATGTAAATACTCAAAACTTTAAATAGACAAAAAAGTACAAGAAAAGGCACCTACTTGCAAGTAAAATTATTTTTCTTTACATTAGAAAAATCTTTAAAATAATAGAATAAGGGGGGTTCTAAAGTTGTATAAGAACTGTAAAACATAAAAATCCTGCCCATATGATGCTCATATCCTAAACAAGTTCAAAAAGGCAAACAACATATTCTTTTAAGTGAAAAAGTATAAAGTTTCATTTTGTGGTTTTATCATAAAAGAATATAGATGGGGGTTGTTTTGTTTTTGCTTTTTGTGTGTGGTACTGGAAATTGAACCCAATGGTGCTTCCCCTTTCTTTATTTTGAGACAGGTTCTGACCAAGTTGCTGAGGCTGGCCTGGAACTTGTGATCCTCCTGCCTCAGCTTCCCAACTAGCTGGAATTATAGGCATGTGCCACCATGCCTGGCTTAGAATTCATTTTTTTTCATGTTTAAAAAAAACCACAACTTTTATACAGAAGTTTAATAAAGCTGCTATGGATAATTCTGTAGTTTGTACACTGCACAAAAGCATGCCACCTATGGGGTACCTTTCACTTTGTGGACATCCTGTATTTGTATTTTATGACAGCACTCCAGCAGATGGCAGTAAAGAGAAAAGATGTCCTTTTTAATTTGCACTCAAGCACCACATGAACTAATTACAAATTGTAGTTCAGGACAATCTCATGAAGGGAGGGACATTTGTAAGATAATCATTTAAAATTTCTTACATTACATGTAAAAATACACAAAATTAGAAAATTGAGGTGAAAGTAAAAGAAGAACAGCACAGTCTTGGCTTTGCTGAATAACACTAAACTTAACATGGGATACTAGTGCATGCTTTGCAACAAAGTGTTGCACACATCAGGTCTCATGGATTGTTAATTAATCCTCCATTAAAACATCACTAGATTTTAAATAAAATCTAGTAGCAAATAAGCATTAGCTTTGAATTAAATTTTGTAATTTAAATCATGAGATTAAAACCTAGATTTTTTTACTATGACTCTCTCACACAATGGTAATTTTAACAACAGTTAAGTAACACAGAGTGATGTTTCAATCAATGATGGTTGCATGTATGATGGTAGTCCTATAAGATTCTATTGCCTAGTGATGCCATAACCATCTTGGTTTATGTAAGTGCATTCCATGATATTAATAAGATTATTGCTGCTTAGTGATACTACAACCATCTTGGTTTGTGTAAGTATACTCTATGATGTTGCACAATGACAATGCTGTTATCAGAATGTATCCCCATTGTTAAATGACACATGACTATACATGATTTTTAATAAATCAGTGATTCTCAAGATCGAGCACCTTCCATTCCATTTGACAGAGGTGAGCTGTCTGGCATAGCACTGTGAGCACAGCTGGTACCTGATTTTCCTTCACTGTTTGCTGTCTTAGATAAACCATACGGCATATTTGATGAAAGGGTTGATTTTAAAGGAGGTCGTCCCCGTTTTGACTTCTGCCTCTCTTCATCCCTTTTTTCATCCTTTTCACTATCTTCTTTATTCTGGGTAACAACAATGACAAAATGCATGAGAATATCCAATGCCTTAAGAAAAATGAACATTTAAATTCTCTAAGGAAAACTAATAATAATAAATTAAAAAGCTAGTTTATATATGTCAACCCCTAATTTGTGTTTATAGAAAAATCAAGATCAGTTTTCTAATCTATTTATATGAATATGATATTCCACAATTTGTAACCCTGCAATTATTTTGTGAAGCTAGTGCATTGGCAAGCTATGCAACTATTCAGCACTCCCCCTGGTTCCTTATTATCCACTGACCAAGACATCAAAAATAGACAATATGCTAGGCAGATCTCTATAGCAAAGGTTGAAGACTGAAGGTACAGGTAAGGCTACAACTTCTCAGCAGATGTGTTTTAAATTTACTACTGCTTCCAAAATTTAAACATCAGATTTTGCATTTTTAAAAATATAGTGGTTCTGGCAGTTGCACAGACAATGATACATAGGCGCAGACCAGTGTGTCCTTGGGCTAGAGAGTGGGATGTCCACTTCTGATCGGGGACCTTCTTTGCACTAGTGACAAAAGAACAAATTAAAAATGGGTGATGTTGAGAAAGGCAAGAAGATTTTTGTTCAGAAGTGTGCCCAGTGCCACACCATGGAAAAGGGAGGCAAGCACAAGACTGGGCCAAATCTCCATGGACTGTTTGGGCAGAAGACAGGTCAGGCTGCTGGCTTCTCTTACACAGATGCTAACAAGAACAAAGGCATCACCTGGGGAGAAGATACACTGATGGAGTATTTGGAGATTCCCAAAAAGTACATTCCTTGGAACAAAAATGATCTTCGCTGGCATTAAGAAGGGAGAAAGGGCAGACTTCATAGCTTACCTCAAAAAAGCCACTAATGAGTAATAGCTACTTATTGCCCTATTTATTACCAAACAGAAATGTCTCTTGGCTTTCTTATGTACACCATAATTTAATTGATGTGATACACCAGAAATCAGATCATGAATGACAAAACTATTTTTGTTGGACAACCCTGATTTAAGTAAAAGTGACTTGTAGTTAAATTAATATTTGGTAATACTTCCACTTCAGTAAATTCAGTAAATTAAAGTTATGGTTGGACTTAATTAGTAAGGTTCAGTATTTCACAAAAATCGTGAATGACATCTGAAAAATGGTTTTATATTTAGGTTTATATAACTGATCCTGTGAATATGTTTAAATATAAGGGAAACCCCTTTGCACTCTCAGAACCAAGCATGATTCACATTTGTTTCAATTTGTGTTCATCAGCCTATTAAAGGCAGTGGTTGAAGATAAGGAAGCAGTTTCTATATTTTTGTTGACCATGCCAGTTTAATTAGAATTCCTTGTATCTAAAATGTTGTTCTTTCCTTATAGAAAGGCATTTTAGTGTGGTTTATGTATGATATGAAATAAAGAATATTTAACACTTCTCCCATTTTATAGTTGATCCATAAGTTCAGATGCTTTTAAGTCAGCATAATACAATAACAAGTTAGACTTTACTTTTTAATTCTTAATTTTCTAAGACTAAGTTATCATTCAGGATTGTCTTTAAACAACTGTTCAGAAACAATACTATGGAAATCTATCTAGATGGTTGGGAGTGGTGCTTTTTACCAACTTATTAGATGGAAAAATTAAGGTAAAAGAGATCAAAATCAGTACAAATTTGTAAAATATGTTACCATAAGATTTAAGACAATTAAAAACAATCTCAGGGCTGGGGATGTGGCTCAAGTGGTAGCGTGCCCGCCTGGCATGCGCAAGGCGCTGGGTTTGGTCCTCAGCACCACATAAAAATAAAATAAAGATGTTGTGTCCACAGAAAACTAAAAAAAAAATAAATATTAAAAAATTCTCTCTCTTAAAAAAAAAAAATCTCAGATCATGAAAAAAGAAAAAGAAAAAAAAAGATTGAATTGGGTGTTAACATACTTTATATACAAACAGAGATATGAAATTTATATAATAAATTTATATACAAACAGAGATATAAAAAATTGTAGTATATAAGTGTATTAAGAATTGTAATGCAATCTGGCAACCTTGGGTCAGCATTGCCCCAACAGAATGATTATTTCCACCCTCTCTAGTGAGAACCAAGTCCTCTATGTATCACTCTGAGTCCTACTTTACCCTCTTCCTATGAAGGCTCCACAGGCATTTGAGTTTTAAAATCAGTGCCCTAGGCATTGCTGGTTTTCATCTCTCTGTGAGATGAGGTGGTAATAGATTTTAAATTTCAAAAAAATTTTTTTAGCACCTGAGTTATAACAGAGAAAATCTGCAACTCTCTTAATAGAATCAAGACAATTATTACAGTGAGAAAACAAGATTTATTAAAAAAGCACAACACCTTAAATGCATATTACTAAATGGAAGAAACCAATCAGAAAAGGTTATATGCTGTAATGATTCTAACTATATGACATTCTGGAAAAGGCAAATTTATGCAGACAGTAAAAACATTAGCTGTTGCCAAGGATTAAGAGAGAGTACAAAGAAGAACTGGTCGAGCACAGAATACTCTGTATGACACTTTAACAGTGGGTACCTGTCATTATACATTTGTCCAAACTCAAACTATGTGTGTTATACCTTCCTGTGCTCATTACCCTGTTGTAAACTGTGGATTCTGATAACGCTGTGAAGATGTAGGTTTATCAATTGTTAACAAATACAATATTCTGGTGGGGGTTGAGGGAGTGACAGTGGGAGAGGTCATGCATGTATGTGGCAGAGGGCATATGGGAAATCTCTATATCTTCTCAATTCTGTTGTGAAAGCAAAACTGCTCTTAAAAAAACAATGTCTTAAAGAAATAATAGAATTTAAATAATTCCTGTACCTATCATAAAGTCTATGAATATGGAAACATACCTTAGCTTTCTTCTTTTGTTTTTTCTTTGGTCCACCTTTGTCCAAAGGCCAGATTATCCTGTCAGCCTTCACCCATTCATCATACCTTAAAATGAAAATTTAAAAATCACATAGTGATATCCTATTCAAAATATATTCATCAAACAAAAACAACAGTGAGAGAGATTAAAGAGTTTGTTTCCATGTTGACAGAAATGTGAAAGACTCAGAGGTGGGGTTTGTGAGTAACGTGTACCAGCCACTATACTAGGTGCTTTGTGTACCAACCATCAACAGGAAAAGCCAAGAGCAGTTTTTAGAGTTAACAGATCAGAGTGAGCAGACACTAAGTATATTCAAAACTATTGGAACTGCTTTGTTTTCAGAACTCCCACAAATATAAGCTTATAAGCAAATTCTGTATTAGAATTCTTCTACTAAACAAATAATACAAAGATAACTCAGGAAAATTCAAATTTGCAACATGATTGATTCCAGATTATTTTATCAAGTCCTCTGAAATTTCTTTTCCTCCCCAGAACTCTCTTTAGCCTCTACTATTTCTAATAAAATTTTATTCTGAATCTCATCATCTTTAAGACTTTCCAGTTTTTTAGAGATATTTATATTTAATTTTCTTCAACAATTTATATTTTTGTTTAACTCAAGCAGAGTATAAAAACTACAGGATGTCCTCACTTTAGACTGCACTATGTAAATAAACTCAATGTATCTGGAAACCATACCACCATACCTGTGCTTTGTAAACCAGTTACCATGAAGATGTACAAAATAAGAATGTGGTTTCTATTTTTTTTTTGATTAATACAATTTTTATTAAGAATTTTATCTGGTTACAGAGAAACATTTAGAAAGGATGATGGGTTACATAACTTCACTGTTGTATGTGAGAAGTCTGGGCAGCTAACATGATTACCAAATATCATCTGGTTCTTCATGAGAAAAGCCTGTGGAACTTTCATCCTTGTCACTGGATGGCAGCGTGTCCACTACTGAGCATTCTCTGGTTATCTTTTTTGAGCTCTTATCTGCAGATAACTCTTGGTCTTTCCCCTGCTGGATGATTTTCATATATTTCTCTAAAGGATTTTCGCCATGAGTAGATTTGTCTCTCACATCTTGAACAGTCATTTCTAATTCTTTTTTCATTTCAATCTTCAGTGATTCTTCAATCATTCTCCTTTCCTGATCCAGTTTTTCCAGTTCTCTTCGTTCCCTTTCTAGAGCTTCTTGCCGTTCACTCTGCCTTCGTTCTTCTCTCTGCCTTCGTTCTTTCATTTGCTGCTCCCATGATTTTTCATCTTCCTTTTGTTCTCCAAGTTCTTTCTGATCAATACTTGAGTTATGACGTGGGACAGGTCTTGTAGGCAGAGTAGCTGCAGCAGCATCCACATGAGGCATATCACCAGCAGGGTGTAACCCATCTGCTTCAAACTGTCTTGACCTGTTCCCTGCATATTCAAAAGATGATTCAAATTCCTCATTATCCTTAAAAGCTAGCTTGTCCAGATTTGAAAATTCACTTTTTTCTTGAATTTCAGTCTGTTTCTGATGAAGACTGGCCTTCTGTTCTGGAGGGCTGGAGGAGGAAGGTGCAGAGAGGCTATGCCCAGATTCCACGGGTGATGGCTGGGACATTCTGTCAGGACAAGAATTGGGGAAATCAAGAAGTGATTTGCCCATACCTTCCAAATACATTTCATTATTGAGGCTTCTTCTTGCTTTTGGAAGGGGCGTTGAGGAGAGACGTCTGGAAGAAGTACTCTTACGTGCCCGCGAAGCTGTGCTGACTGTCTGTGCCTCAGAGGCAGCACTCTTTTCCTCATGAGGTGTGCCCACCTGAGGCTGCCCAGAGAAAACTCTGTCCTCTGCCAACATCCGTCTTTCTGGGTGCTCAGGGATAACTCGGTCCTCTGTAAAAGCACATCTTTCCAGGGAGCTAGAAGTGACAGTTTTGAGGGTTCCCCGTAAGTGCGAAGATGGTGGACTCTTTGCTAGTGGTGGGCTCTTAACCGGGTTTCGAAGAACTCTTCGATGGTAATCTCTGAAAGCTTTCTCCAAGCGTTCGGCCTCTTGCTCTAGCTCTTTTACCCTGGCTTTTGTACTGGCCACAAACTCAAGGTCAGAGTCTGGGGAACCAGCTTCTTTTCCTGTATTTGGATAACCTGTGATTCTTGGTACAACTGCAACTGCCGTAATCTTCTCCTGTCCAAGAGGGCTGTTTGAGAAATCCCTGCTTGTATCACCACTGTGAGGCACCACCTTGCCACTTATTAGCCCACTCACAGACCGATGGCTCAGAGACTGCTTTGGGTTGCGGTACACTTCATTCTCCAGGGCTGTCTGAATGTGTTTCAGTTGCAATTTTAAATCACCAACTTGAATATTTAACCTCTTTACAGAAGCATCATAATCTAATATCTGGGCCTTTAGCTGTGCCGAATGTTCAATTTCACTTTGCAGCTGTTTTTGCAGAACTTGTCTATGAGTTTCAAACTCCTTATGCTCAAGTGCTATAGTACTTTCTGCTTTCTTCAATTCTTTCTGAAGAACCAGAAGCTCAGGAGATGGCTGAGCTATGCGGTTTAGGAGATTCAAATTTTCATTCTTATTCTCTTCCAGTTGTTGTTTAAGTACTTTATTTTGTGCCTGAAGTTCTAGCTTCTCTTCTTTTAGTACTGAGTAATCATTCATCTCTTTAATCTTTTCATTCAGCAAGTGGTTTTGTTGTGTTATTGTCAAAAACTGGGCTTTGACAGACTCTAATTCAAGCTCAAGTTCTTTTATACGATTTATAGATTGACTTAGTTCTTCCTTTTTTGAATTAAAAGCTATGAGCTCCTCTTGCAAATGAATAGCTTTTTCTTTATTCCTCCTTTCATCTTCAATCAGTCTGTTAGTTCTACTGAAGTATTCATCCTTTAGTTCAAGTTGATACTTTAGAAGTTCATTCTTGAGCTTTTGATCATAGCTCTCTTCAATACTCTTTATATTCTGTTCTCGTCTCTTAAGTGCTTCAGCAGTACTTTTATTTTTTTCTTCTTGGAGTTTCTGGGTCAATTCAAAAGCATCAAGTTTTTGCTTCAGTTCTGCTTCTCTGCCTCTTAGCAGATCTATATCTTTTAGTAGAAGCTGCCTTTGAGCATAAATTTCTTTTGCTTCAGTCTCCTGGTGCTTCTGAATTCTTTCAAGAGCATTCTTTTCGCGAGAAACGAGGGCTTCATTTTTTGCATGATAAGTTCTCTTAAATTCGTTTCGGAACTCAGATAATTCCTTCTCGTACTTCCTTTTCTCATCCATTTTAAGTTTTGCTATTTCAGTTTCTTTAAAATACTTCAACTTTTGACCCATCTCTACTCGAAGTTGCTGTTCTATTTCTTTTTTATATTCATTTAGCTTCATTTCTAAAGACTCTAGCTTTGGATGCTGAGGATGAGCATCTGCAAATTGATCATCGATAAACTGAAGCTTCTCAGCAAGTGAGTCTTTGTTAGGACATGTTGAGCTTGTCTGAGTTTCCATATCACAAGTCTCTTTAGCTTGATGATATTCTGCCAATTCTTTCAAGAAATTAATAAGAAAACCTTTTTGGTTTCCTTTATCAAATCCTGAGACCAGTGATTTGTAGAGACTGGACGTAGGGTTGATTTTAATGAGTTGTAATAGATCCTGCATAGTATATACCTTTTCTTTTGCTAAACCACTTTCTGGAAAGAAAACAGAAAGTGAATATTCATAGCCACATCTCTGTAAGTGATCTGCCACTAGAGAGTTAGAGGCACCTATTAAGAGAGCACTCCCTTCCACTGAAATAGACTGAGGCTGCAGTTTTCCACTCAACACAGGGTGCATCAATTTGTGAATTAGCTGGTTTCTGAGTTGTGTTTTAAGCGTGTCCAGTATACCCCGATCCTTAAACGTCTGGTACAGCTTTTTTCGCAGTTCATCTTGACTCAATACATCACACTTGGGGGACATGGTAGACTGAGCCATCATCAGGTATCTGCTTCCTCCCGAGCCCAATCGCCAGGACCCGAGTTCCAAAGTTCAGCCCAGGCTGCAGGCTCAGGACAAGAAGGAATCCCGGCCTGTTTGGGAGGAATAGGGAAAAACAAGAGAGCTGAATGTTCTGCCTAACACTGGAACTAGGAACTCAGAAGTAAGATGCCTACTTCCCTTCTCCGCGGTTCTGAAGGGTGGGCGGGGCCGTGACCCTGGGGGGGGGGGGGACTGTGAAAGGCTGCTGGAGGGCGGACGACGGGGCGGGGTGGCAGGGCAGCACCCAGGGATTTCACGGCTCAGAGACCACATCACCCCTCCCCGAGGCCCACCAAACTGAATCGCCTTTAACTGAATCGCCTTTGTCTGGACTGTTACGGCGCACGCCTCCATGTGTGCACGCGCCCAGTGCTACCGGAAGCTCCAGAATGTGGTTTCTACATGCACAAGTTTCAGCTAAGATGGCACATTGATACTTATACTATAGTTTGAAATATAGTTAATCCTGGTAGATTAACCCAAGATATAAAGCTTTTGAGAAAGGCCTGTTTATAAGCATTGTACCAGACTTTTTAAGTATCTGTATTTTATTACCTTACTTAGAAATATTCATTCCTGCATTTTATTACCTTATTTAGAAATATTCATTCATTTGGACAGTCACTGAGGATCTACTGGTATGACAGGCTCTGTATGAGGAAGAAGGTAGAGAACAGAAAGAACAAGGCCTTGCTCTCATACAATTCAGTCCCATATGAAAAGAGGGCATAAAATGAAATCAAATAGAGTCTGGGAAGTACAATAAGACTTATGTATCTGACCCAGGACTAACAAAGAAGCAAATGTCCAATTCTGAAATTTTCCAGGAGACATCAAATCACCAAGAAGCACAGGCCTGATCTGAACTTGGCATAGGCTACAATGTTCCAATGAAAGCAGTCTGTTGTATGGGTACTTCCAGATCAACACTGCTAACCAAGGGTGAGACCAGGATATCTGAAGTAGAGACCTGAACCCCACCCTAGCACATGTTTTCATTTTAGAAATTCAACTAAATTCTCTAGGAACGATAGGAGCTCTGTCTCAACAAGCAGGCCAGAATTATACCCGTTTTTTAGGAGTACGGAGGACAACAACAACAAAAATCACGTGAGTAACCAAGTAGGAAACTAATAACAAATTACAAAATAAAATGAGGATTGATTAGTCATAAAAAGATGAGACAGAAGATACAGGAAAGAGAGATTCTAGAAAGAAGAACTGAAATACAAATATAAATAACAGTATATGGGCCAAGCACGGTGGTGCGTGCCTATAATCCCAGCAACTTGGAAGGCTGAGGCAGGCGGATCACAAATTTGAAGCCAGTTCAGCAAATTAGTGAGGCCCTGTCTCAAAATAAAGGGCGGCAGTGGGGAGGGGGGGGGTTGTGGATGTAGATTAGTGTTAGGGACACCCATGTTCAATCCCCAATACTAACAAACGGTCTATGGCTGTGAAATGAACAGAGTCAGAGAAAAGAAATATAAAAATCTTACATTATGTTCATTAAGCTCCCACCTTTTCAAATGATGCCAAATTAAAAAAAAAAAAAATTGTCACTGAGCACTTACTAAGTGCTAAGCATTTTTCTAGGCACTTTACATGTTAATTACAGGTATTATCATTTTATAGCATTCCTCTGAAATTTTTATTTCAGTATTTTCCCCAATTTAGTGATGAAGGAATTGCGCCACAACAGAACATGAACCTAGTATGTGGAAAAACCCTGGAGTAAGATGGCTCCAGGTGAATCCAGGCGACCCAGAGATTTCAAACACACAAGACTTTAGAGAAAAGCAGCCCTGGCATTCAGGAATTGGCATGGTATAGCACTAGAGAGACTTTGGTGTTGTGACAAGCTGATCTGGCTTTTATAGGTTCTTGTTGAATATGAACAACTTCACATAACCTCAGATGTCTGCTCGGTGCCCATGATAGATCTAAGCAACAATAAGACCATTCCCTAATCATGTCTGAACACAAGAGGCAAGAGGCAGGGGGCAGACAGGAATATCATTCAAACCACAAAAATGACTAAACATCCTTTTTTCCTGATTAATGAGTCATTGCTGCTGCTTCACCAAGTATAGTGTCAACCTTGGACTAGTCTTCTGTCCTTCCAGTAAAACTAAGAAAATCAATTATAGAATTATCCCAGCTTCCTGACAGCACTTCATATAAAAGCCAAGTCTCATTTCCTTAAAGCTTCCCCCAAAACCACCTAACAGGAGCTCAAATCCAAGTTCTTCCCAACATTCTTTTTTTATTAATTAAGCAACTCAGAATTATTATAATGCTTGACAGAAGGTGTGATTTCTCATAAACAAACCAAACCAACGTTTGCACAGTTGAGCTACAGGCCTCACTCTCTGATCATATTCTGCAATGTTTTCACAGAGTCCTGGGCTATTCCTGTTCTCAGAGGTGGCATTCTTGAGCCTTTGCTATTGACCTAACTCTCTGTTAGTGCAATGCCCCATAATTCCCCATGTTATGTGTTCTTTCTCACTGTAAATGAGTAATAAACACAGCTTGTTCCGATGACAGATCCTAGTGATCTTAATCTGGAAGTACTGACATAGCTTGTAAAACAATACAAATGTCAACATGTTGGGACAAGTTAGAATCAAGGCGTGCTTTTTAAACACTCACACATAAACACCACTTGTTTAATAATTCTTCACAAAGTTAAAATGATCTCTCAACTACTGCCAAAATTTCAGTAGTAAGGAAATACTTTCTTACTTACCTGACATTCCATCCATAATAATGTACCAAGTATAGAACTTCTCCATCATCAATTTCAGTGCTTTTAATGCTGGCTTCATAAATTTTCTGAGTTTTCCCTCGTCCATATTTCACTTTCACTTTGGTTCCTGTTAGGCAGGGTTCCATGTCTTCCTCATCTTCTTCCCCTTCAGAGTCACATTTGCTTTCAGTTTCTTCCCTGCAGTAAGTTATAACATTGATAATGCTACTAATAATTCAATGGAGAACAAAATAGCATGTATTAAAAATAATCCAAAAAATCACAACCTAAGTATTACCTTAATAATGTCAGTGGAGGAGGAGAAGAAGGAGGAGAAGGAGAAGATTTTTATGGACTACTTATTAAGGAATTTATTATGTAAAGGTGCACTGTACCAAAAATAAATCCATACTTATTGAAAGCCAATCAATAATCAGAGTTAATGATGATATAGAGTCAAATAAATCACTTTTGATAAAATAAGAACAATCTGCTCTGAAAAAAAATCTTTGGAATTCATATTCAAGTGCCACCTTATATGTGAAATAATCTAAAGATATTTTGTAACTTCCTGCAACTAATTATCTTAAATCTACTCCTATTTTATGTTTATTTTAGAATAGTTCTTAGTTTTTTAATGGGCTTAAAAAATGAACAAGGGCTTTCTATCTTAGTAACCATGTTTTAAAAACCAATTTATATTTTAAAGTTCTCCCCACTCTAACAAATAAACAGGTTTTTTCTGTTGTTTTGTTATTTGTTTGGCTTGGAATGTCAGATAAAAACCTATGGGTGCTTTATCACTGAGCTACATCCCAAGCATTATTTTTAATTTGAGGTAGGGTCTTGTTAAGTTGCCAGGGTGGGTAATGAATTTGCTATCCTGTCTCAAGTCTCCCAAGTAGCTGGGATTACATCGAGCACTACTGCACCCCAGGAAACGAATGTTTGAAGGTGAGGCCATTTGTTGAAAGTACAGGATAGTACCAGGAGAATGCATTTTTTGGGGGGTTGGGGGGATTAAACCCAGAGGCACTTTACTCAGAGCTATATCCTCAGCCCTTTTTATTTTGAGATAGGGGGCTCGCTAAGTTGCTTAGGGTCCTGCTGCAGGCTGGCCTTGAACTTGTGATTCCCTGCCTTGGCTTCCAGAGTCCCTGGAATTATAGGCCTATGCCATTAAGCCTAGCAAGCTCTGCATATTTTATGTTGTTTTATGTTTTTTCACTTATCTCCCATCAGCTTTTCTTTGTTTTGAAAATTGGGTGTCAAAAGATATTCACGCAGGTAAGTCCACAATATTTTGAATATTCTTATTATAAAACAATCTGTTAGCCCTGGTAGGATTCAGAAGAGAACTGCATCATAGAACATTTAAATGTTACAAGAGTTTTAAAAGCTTAAAAAGAAGGACTATGCTCTATAATAAATATAGGACATTATTTTGGTGACCCCTCAGGGACTCAACTCAAAGAGGCTTTGACAGCCCATTTGCAATTGGAATGTTTTCTCTCCAAGGACACCATCCAATAATAGCCTAGAGAGGTAATTTCTGAGAAAAAAAACCTTAAAACAGAAATCACCATGAAGTACTATTTCCATAATTCCTAATGTAGAATGGGAATACAGATGTGTTTGCTGTCTGTATATTTGATTTTTATTTAATAAAAATATTATTTATTATTTATTATTATTATTATATTATTTGGGTTAGAGATTGAACTCAGGAGCACTGGACCACTGAGACACATTCCCAGCCCTATTTTTTGTATTTTATTTAGTAACAGGAGGGTCTCATTGAGTTGTTTAGTGCCTTGCTTTTGCTGAGGCTGGCTTTGAACTCACGATCCTCCTGCCTCAGCCTCCCGAGCTGCTGGGATTACAGGTGTGAGCGATGGCGCCCAGCAAGAATACTATTCTTTATATTTAATCAAATCTGTTTATTTTTCTCTAAAGAAAATTTAAATTTCATTTACATGTTAACTATGAAGACTTTTAAAGCCATGTATTATATGTAGAGACTAATCATGTTTTATATTTATTATATATACATTATAATATACACACAGTATCTTGATGCTTAGTTTGCACATAACTACCAATAATAATTAGCCCTTCCTTTGTAAATAGTTCACTTTCATTTATTAGCCAAATATTTAAAATACTATACTTGTATCATTATACTCAACTCTAATTATTTCCTCCCACTTTTCCTAATCCTAATTATATTTCACTATAGAATTTTCATATTTTACTAACCTACTTCACAAATAATTGTGATAGTTCCTGTACCTATTCATATTGAATCAAATTACCTCTCCCACTAATTATTCCTATTTTTCTAAATATTTATTTTCTCAATGGTTAATTTTCAGACTGTGTCAGCTACTAGTTGGATGCAGTAGTCCTCTTTCCCCAAGTCTGGATTAACAACTCAATTTTCCAGAAAAATCTGGCATTATATTAATAAAAGAATATAAAAAATAATTATAGAGAAGAGTTTATATTTTAAGGAAGTGTGTTATGCTGCTGTTGCTCTTTACAACTTGTTTCTTGTAGCATCTAAAAATTAGCAAATCCATCCAGTGACACTTACAGAATGGCCAAGTAGGTAACGTGTGGTCAGACATGACCTTGATTTAGCCAGACTGCCTAATCTTTGGCTATTTTTGTCAATTCAATACACACATGTCTAATACATGGAAAAAAGATACAATTTTCACTCAACAGCAAGCAGGATGGACATTAAAAAGCTGAAATTTATTGGTGGGATGTGGGGCAAGAATGTATTTTTCAAACAAGAATCAGGGGTGCATGCCACTTATTCTAAAACAGTAACTTGAAAAAGAAAAATATCTCAGATAAAGCTAACACACAGAAACATCTGCTAGTACTGTGCACCCATGTGTTTGTTAGCTTTCCCACATTGTACCTTTTTTAAAATGGAATTTTTGCTGCCGCTGTTTCCTCTTGTCCACTTCCTCCATTTTTCTCCAGCTCCCTTCCCTGCTGTCAACTGCAGGACCTTTCTTTTGACTGGGTGGCGCAGCCTTCTTTGAGGCCACTGTTTAGGGCACAAGTGCTATTAAAATGGTGCGACCAGTATATTCTCCAATTCCGAAAGGCGATACACATCATCTTCACAATGTGTCTCACCTTCATTAGACAAGAGGAACGGAAGTCCCAATAAGAAAACATTCCCTCAAACCTGAATTTCTAAGCAGGAACAAAACGCTGTTGTACCCCAGACAGCTGCTTCTGGAGAACAGACATAAAATAATGTACCTCTCTTGGCTTTTTTCTTCCTCTTCATCTGAGTCTTTATCAGAATCTTCTTGCTTTTTAATTTTCTTCTCTTTTTGCTTTGGTGTATTTTTTCTCCCCAGTAGCAGTTCATTTTCTTTTTTCTCTGAAGTTTCATAGTCATCATCTACAATCTTATTTTCTGCATCAATATCTTTTAATTTGTCTTCTGTTTTCTCCTCTTCAATTTCCTTTTTAATAGAATTTGCATCTCGAGCAATTCTCCGTCGTCCCTAGTATAGGACATAAAGCTTTAAAATAGCTATCAATACAAAGAGGGAAAGATATCTCTCCGCTGAACCTTCACAGCAATGACTAGCTAGCTCTCTGGCTTGAGATAAGACCCTGAAACCCACATGTTCTTTTCTCTTCCTTCTGAAGCTTTTTAAAAGAATAAACCATGTAAATTAATTAATTATATCCAGATTTACCATAAGCCCTTCCATATATTACAAAAGAAATAAAAATTTCTCCTGGGGCTAAGGATGTAAATCAGCAATAGATCATGTGCTTAGCAAATGCAAGGCCTCGGTTTCAGTACCCAACATCGAAAAACAACAACAACAAAAAACTCCTTGTTCACTATATTATTTTAGTCCACTTTTAATAAATATTTCTTGACTACAATAAAATTTTATTTGAATTATGCAATGCTAATAACAAAAGTTAATAATGATAACAAATCAACCCCCTGAATTATGGCCTCTGATCTATAGTTCTACTGTTTATTTATTTATTTAAATATTTATTTTTTAGTTTTTCGGCGGACACAACATCTTTGTTTGTATGTGGTGCTGAGGATCGAACCCGGGCCGCACGCATGCCAGGCAAGCGCGCTACCGCTTGAGCCACATCCCCAGCCCTCTACTGTTTATTAAGACAAAATTTACATCATCCCTGTACAATACCCCTCAACTTGAAATACAGCAAGAAAAAAAAAAAAGAAGAAGGTACCAGCAATGCAGAGAGCACTAGAATATTTGACAACTACTATCTCAGTAAACAAATGTTTCCCCTAGTTCCTATGTGCTATTTACACTTCAAAAGCACAAAAAGAATAACCTTACTTCTACCATAAAGCACTGGAACCTAAGTTCCATGATGGCATGGGCTCTGTATTGTTCAATTCCATATCCTCAGATCAAGACAGTGCCCGACACATCATAGGTACTCTTTAAATATCTGTATGTAAATGTATAAACACTGTTACCTATCAAAATTTTAGTTTTTTTTACACATATCTCCCAGAAACCTCATTTTTAGAAGTCTGGTTTATATGTTAAAATAAATGAAGGGGATAGTTTAAAGAGTCATTGTTTAAAAAGGTAAAGAGTTTTGCAAGAAAAAATTCTGGAGCTGGATGCTAGTGAATGGCGGGGACTGCTGCACAACATTGTGAACATACATAATGCCAAGAACTGTATACTTAAGAATGGTTAAGAGGCAAACTTTTAAGTATTTTACCAGAATCAAAAACAAGACATTTTACAGTTATTAAGCTTGATAGTGTGGTAAATTCCTTTTTTTCTAAAAGATGATAAATCCTTCTATGGAACAAGCATTGGACACTGGTCAGAATGGCAGACGACAATTCCTGCACACACATTAATGGAGAGGAAGAGTAGAGTTGGAAGATAAAGCCAGAGTGCACGTGGCTAGTACTGCAGAGTATGCTATCAAGTTATAGTGAAAGAGATCATCTGGTTGGAGGCTTGAATGTTAGAAAAGGAGAGACTCATTCATCCAACAACTAATTAAGAAGCACTTATTATGTGCTAGACACTATTCTAGAAGCCTCGGGTCTGTTGATTAAAAAAAATCAAATACTAATCCTTGAGCTCAGGGAGTGCAAATCTAGTACAGAGCAAGGTAAAAGAGACGAAAAATAATAGACATAATGCATAAGTAAATTATGGAAGAGGGTGAAATTGAAGTGATGAGAATGCCAATGAGAGGAGGGAAGTTGCAATTTTAGGAGAGACCTAGTATAGGCTTCAATGAGGTGACATTTTAGCAGAAGACTTGAAGGAAGGGAATATGCAAGACTTATCCTACACGAGAATGACTGAACAGACACAAACAAACAAGAGAAACAGTTTTCAAGTAGAGGAAATAATGTGTGATATATCTAGAAAAAAGTAGCTAAGCTAGTCTGGATGTTATGGTTTGGATATTAAGTGTCCCCTAAAAACTCACATGTGAAACAATGTAAAGGTTTAGAGGAGAAATGACTGGGTTATGAGAGCCTTAACCCAATTAGTGAATCAATCCCCTGATGGGATTAACTGAGTGCTAACTCAAGGTGGGTAGGGTGTGGCTACAGAAGGTGGGTCACTGGGGGCATGCCTTTGGGGTATGCATTCTGTAACTGGAGAGTGGAATCTCTCTCTCCCACTCTCCTTTCTGATTATCATGTGAGCTGCTTCCCTCTGCCACACTCCTCTGTTCAGCCTCACCTTGAGCCCTAAGGAATGGAGCCAGTTATCTATGGACTAAGATCTCTGAAACCATGAGCCCCCAAATAAACTTTCTCTTCTGTAATTGTTCTTGTCAGGTCTTTTAGTCAAGCAGAAAACAAAGCTAACTAAAACACTGGCTGATGTGTGACATAATAAATAATGGAATATTAAACTAGGTTTACTGTAGTACCTTTTTGCTATCTGAAAATGTTCGTTAAAAAAAAAAAGTAAAATAATGCTTTAAATAACTTAAAACTTAAAATAACCAGATAAAACTACTATTAAGTACTCACTCTTGGAGATTTTAATTCTATTTCTTCTCTTTCACTTTCACTGTTTGAATCAATGTTTTCCTCAGGTTCACTCTTCACTTCTATTAAAGGCATTTCTTGATCTACTTTTAGAGCTTCTTCCATTGATTCTTCTAACTCTTTTTTTTCCACTTTTACTTTTGGCTCATGGTGGTGAATAGTTCTGAACTGAATATTTGCAGAACGGCAGTACTCCTCAAAACCATAGAGATACCTAAAAAACCAATATTTCATTTTAGGAAATCTTGGTTGCTACGTTTAACTTGATTATTATATTATTAAACACACACAGTTTTAGAAAGTAAAACTCTTTTTTGGGGGGGTAGGGGTATTAGAGATTGAACCCAGGGCACTTAACCACTGAGCCACATCGCCAGCCATTTTATTTTTTATTCAGAAACAAGATCTCACTAAACTTAAGGCCTCACTTAATTGCTGAGACTGGTCTCCAACTTGTGATCCTCCTTCCTCATCCTCATGAGCCAGTGGGATTCAGGAATGCTCCATAAAATTCATTTATATGGTTTCACTGCATAATCACTGCACCCTGTTTTCTCAGTACAAAAATTCGTTTATACCCTTCCAATGTGTAATCACTGCATGGTACAACTGTCTTTGTATGCTGTTTAAAAGGCAAACATCAGCAGTGTATTCACCAGTGGCATATGGATACACATTTGTCTTCTCACACACCACAAGCCGCAAGCCTAGAAAGCTCTGTTCATATGCACTGTCGATATAGTTCTGCAAACTAAAACTTATATGTGGTTTGTTTAGAGTGCTCCAGTGTTAATGATAAAGACATCTTGTATGAGTACAGCCAAGGGTGCATCAGATGAGAAAACCAATGATAGCACAGAATCTTCAGACACAGAAGATTACATTTTTAAGCCCATACTTTGCAACACTGTAGGAAATTTTCTCAAGTGTAATATTTCAACTATCAAGCTCAAATCAATTAAAACTAATGTATTAACTTTTTCTCCCCCAAGACTAGAAAAATGTTCACTAAACTGTCACAAAAAAATGATATGAGATTTTTAACTATTCAGTTTTAATGTATATTCACAAGTATTCTGTGCATCTTAATCTTGTACCACGACGGGTTTAGTAATAAATGATTTTAAGTACAAAATTTTTATTAAAATAAGAAGCTTCACAATATGTTGTCACCCCACTTTTATTGCAAAACATATTTGTCATAAAATATGCAACAATTATGCAGTGAAATAAGGTAAACAGAAATTCTGATCATAAAATAAAATTCCTTCCTGAGAATTCTGAGTTTGTGATAAGTAACAGAGCTATCATAGTTTTGATATAAAATATGTTCAACCCAAATACAATGCTCAATGACATTTACCTTAATATCAGATGATAAATATCCCTGATTTTGGAAAGGAAATCAGTATAACATGAGAAATGGAGCAAAGACACTTTGAAATAACTTTCAATCACAAGTATCTATTAATAGTCTAAGCCTTTTTGTACACCTTCCCTAACATTTATGTTCTTTGATGTATACTTATTTGTTAACAAATTCAAAGGACAATATTACCTGTAAATGGGTATTCTTTAATGAATAAACTATACTACTTACTTTCTATAAGCAGTTTTTACATTGTAGGAAGCAGCTGAATTCAAAATTGGAATGCCAAGGTCCATATAAATTTGCTTCCATACAGCACCACTATCAATCTGGAAAATTAAGTTTTTTTTGGTTAAAATTTCAAAAGGGAAATAACCTTTACACTAACATCCTATGATCTTAAAGAAAATGGGTATACTGACTAACGTGCATAAAATAGCTCAACATCAGATGGTTAACTTTACATCACATCAATATACAATTCAAAAAGCGATTTGATTTTAATTATACTTACATTGTCACATCCACCCTGATGATAAACCAATCTAAAGAGTTTGAAGAGATTGAGGTCTTTGTAGCCCAAAACAGGTGGTTTGTTGATTGGAGTACCTTTATAATATCAGGGAATAAAAGAAAAATGTTTATTCAAATGAAAAATAAAAAATTGACAACAAAGCTATCAACTACTAAATCCCCAAATTTCATTAATTTAGAGGCTAATATTTGAAGAACCTTAAATGATACAAGACAACACAAAACATTCTCTCTATTCTTCACAGCTTTGTGTGGCCTTTAGACTTCAGATGTTTTACTTCTACAACTAGTAGAGTCATGTCTCTGCCAGTGAATTGCGTAAAACTAAATTACACTTTGGCCAACAATGGTGCTGGTTCATTTAGGCATGAAGAAACACAATGGAAAGGAAAGTTTTAGGCCATGGAACCATTCACATTGTTCTAACACAAATGTTAAAGCTGTCAGCAGTAATCTGAAGGACCATTTCTGAAAACTCTAGAATGTCTAGGGTTTATGTGAGGATTTTCTAGGACTGGTGAATGTCAAGGAACACAGTGATTTATAATAGTTCTATTTATTCTACTTCTACTAGAAATCCTATCCTATTCAGATAGATGGCTCTTCAATTATGTTTAATTCATAGAGACCAAGGATCAGTCTAGTTCACTTGCCATGAACATAGCATTAGTAAGAAATGGGTATGCAGATTAACATTACCTCTACTTCTGAATAATATATTTTTTAGTCCTATAAATCCCTGGGAGATTTAGTTTAATGACATCAAAACTGCTTTCTTACATATCTCTACTCAAAACAGAGTTTGTTTGAATTCCAAATATTTAACTATTTTCAGGTATAACTGATTCTTAGACTTTAACTGAAATACAATATGCTCATGATACTAACCATAACAATGAATACACCAAGAATGTAAAACTGTGGAAGAAATGACTATTTTTAAATAGAAAGCATGAAAATACCTCTGTCTTCCATAAACTTATAAAGCTGTTGGAGGAAGTTGTCCCTCTCTTCAGGGTCAAGCTCTTCCTCAGGCTGTGAAGGCAAAATACATAAATGTATCTAGTACTGTAATGGGAAGGAACACAATGTTGTCTTCTTTTGTTACTGTGAACATAATATAATGGGATAAAATTTTACTGAAGCTGTAATATCTGATTTTTCTTACATTCTCACTGGTCCAGATTTTAAGTTTGTTTGTTTGTGGTACTAAGGAATGAACCCTTAGGGTCTCCCACATGTTAGGCAAGCACTCAACCGTTGTGCTACGTTCCTTGCCCTTTACGTCACATTTCCACACAGCTGATCTGATGTTAACTATAAAGATGTACAATCTCTCCTGTTCACCCTGCATTTGAGAATTACTGTAAGGACTAAGATTAGTCATGAGTAAAAGATTCAAAACCAGAATGAGACTGTCAAGTTTTCACCTCATTTGTTTTTTGTTTTTTTTGAACATAAAAATAACAATGTGGCCTGTACAAATATTCTGGTGGGTAAATACAATAATAAACACATTTATTATGTAGAAATAATATTGTTGAATGAATATAAATTAGAAGTTGCAAAGTCACACTGGCAAAAGGTTTTCATTTGGATGGTGCAAAATTTTAAAACAATTTAAATGCATCATGCATTTAGGTGAGCCATATGAATTTTATTTTGCCTCATATCCCTTTACACCCCACTTGTCTCACAGGAGCCTACTTTTCTCATTTGCCCTTCTTGTGTGGCCTCCATAGTGGACTTTGCAACCCCTGTCAGAAAGATATAAGAATTATTTCTTAGGAAAGAAAACTAGATACCTAATTACTAATTTAGTTCCATTAAAAACAAATTTAAAGACTAATGGAAACACTGCTATAAGAAACAGTCTTTTTTGTTTGTTTCTTAAATATTTATTTTTTAATTGTAGGTGAACATAGTATCTTTATTTCATTTTTATGTGGTGCTGAGGTTTGAACCCAATGTCTCACGTGTGCTAGGCAAACACTCTACTACTGAGCCACAACCCCAGCCCCAAGAAATAGTCTTTCTTAAAACTACCTGTTTAAGTGTTAACCTTTCACAAATTATACAAACTTAGTGGTCTCTATCTATACTGTCAACATCTGGGCTCAAGTCAAACAGATTTTTAAAAAAATATTATTTATTTAGTTATAGTTAAACACAATACCTTTATTTTTTTAATTTATTTTTATGTGGTGCTGAGGATTGAACCCAGGGCCTAGCATGTGCTAGGCGAGCGCTCTACCACTGAGCCACAACCCCACCCCCTCAAGTCAAACAGATTTTAATAAAATGTTCTCTTTTCTGATAGACTACTTATAAAGTTTTACTTGGAAATTATTCTTTAAATTTTAGCAATACTAAGGAGAATCAAATAAAACACTGATGTTTCTTCCATATAAAATGATTGTAATTTAATTTTAGAGTATACTACTTTGTTATGTTCTATGAGAAGAATCCAGATTTTTATCTTTTCAAAGCCATATTCAAAGGAAAGGCTATTTTCAAGCAATAAATATTGATTGTTTAGTGTCCAGAGGGCAATAGGCACTTTAAAATTATGTTATCCTTACAGAATTTCAGTCACTTTAATAATAAAGCCAAGATCAATGAACATGTACTCAATTGAAATATATAAGAAAAAACCATGAAGCAATCAAGGAAAAAGAAGTTAAGATCTTTTAAAATTCTCTCTTTAAGTTTTCTTTCAGTATATTCATTTAGAACAATTTATAACATCAAAACACTTTCAGTTTCATTAAACATAAAGGAACTTAGTTCAAAGTTCTAGTAAGTTTCAAACATCAGCAATTTTACAAAGTTAATAATCACTAAAAAGAGATCATTACTTAATGCTCAAATCCTAAGAAGGCAACTTTTTGTCCATGTGAATTTTAAAACTGGGCTTTTATAAGGTCTTTAATTGTCAGTGAGTTAACTCAAGGAACAACAACAACAACAAAAAAACAATCCAATAGTTCAAGAGCCCCCCAAATCATTTCATACATTAGTCTTAAAGACTTGTAGTGTGGAAAGCAAAAACAGTTTACCCCAGACTGGCTATATACTTTGCCAGTGCTATGTAATCACAATTAAAACCTCATTCTAGTACTTATGATCTTACAGAATTCAGGTAAGAATGCTATATACAATATATGTGAAAACAATTCTTTGAATAGGCACTGATTTAAAATCAAAGTTGCTTTAAAAAACACATAAACAAAATCAAGCCATCAATTGCACATTAGGCACACATTCAGGTGGCACCAAACATCTGATAAATTCTTAATGATTAAGAATATATGTATCTTTAAGCCAGACTTAGTGACACATGCCTATAATCCCAGCAACTCAGGAGGCTGAGACAGACAGACGGATCATCAAGTTCAAGGCCAATCTCTGCAACTTAGCAAAACCGTGTCTCAAAATAAAAAATTTTAAAAACTGAAGGCTGGGGTTGTGGCTCAGCGGTAAAGCACTCGCCTAGCACATGCTAGGGTTCAATGCTCAGCACAACATAAAAATAAATAAATAAAATAAAGGTATTGTGTCCAACTATAACTAAAAAATAAATATTAAAAAAAAAACCTGAGGATATTACTCAGTGGTAAAGCAACCTTGAGTTCAATCTCTAGTACCAAAAATTTTGTAAATGAGGATTTATTTTTATAGATAAGAATTGGTAGCTTACAGGTATTTTATTTAAAAGTTAATGGGTGATCAAGAGTATTTTAGGTTGCATAATGGAACCACCATTTGACCCAGCTATCCCTCTCCTCAGTCTATACCCAAAGGACTTAAAACATCATACTACAGAGACACAGCCACATCCATGTTTACAGCAGCACAATTCACAATAGCTAAACTGTGGAACCAACCTAGATGCCCTTCAGTGGATGAATGGATTAAAAAAATGTGGCTTATATACACAATGGAATATTACTCAGCAATAAAAGAGAATAAAATCATGGCATTTGCAGGTAAATGGATGGCGCTGAAGAATATAATGCTAAGTGAAGTCAGCCAATTCCCGCCCCTCATGCTTAATTTCTTATAGTAAATAATTCTTTACAATCATTTTTTCAAAATAACTGTGTAGCCAGTCCCCTTGGAGTAAGACTGCTAGAAAATGCCTCCAATGAGAAGACTGTTCTTTTACGAACTGTGGATGGGGCTCATATTTCTCCTATGGTTTGCTTCCTCTATCCATGGCATTTTCATACCTATCATGTCTCTATTCTGGTTGAGAGCCAGGGGTTAAAAGCCAAGGGGCTGTTGCATTTCTTAACAGTTTTAAAGTGGGATAAGATTATAAATTTGGGAAATACAAGTTTCACCAAACTGTGCTATGGAACCTTCTTCCCCTCATTTAGTCAAGAGCAAGGAGGAAGGTTAAAGAGACAGAAGAGGAATGTACATTATGATCATAATGTGAAGAAATTTATAATTTTAGTTAGCATCAGTATATACTACTTATCTCTATCTACACTACCAGATTGTGAATTTTCTGACTTCAAGCACTGTGTCTTCCATTTAAGTTCAAGCATTTACTGATGGTTACCATAAGTTAGGACTGCACAAAAACAATGAGGATTAAAATGAGAACACATGGTACCTTCTGTTTTAACTGTTCTCAATCTGGCAGGGGGGTGCAGAAAGGAAAAACAAATCAATACAATCAAGTGTGATAAGTGTAAACTACATAAAATAATATGGAAGTAACTGAGGGAATAAGTGGTTCTGCTGGAGGTGGAGTGGCCTTGGTAATATTATAGAAAGCCTCAAAATGTAAGTAGTCTCAAAAAAAAAAAATGTAAATAGTCTAGCCATAAACATGAATCTGGCCAAGGTGAACTATGATGAGGAAAGAGCTTTGTAAGACATGATATGCCAAAGAATCAGAACTATGGTAGAGGTCAGGTTTGAGAGTACAAAAGAAGCATTAGGTCAGATTTGTAAGATCTAAGTCAGAAATGATTCTGATGGCTTTGAAGGAACAAGGAAGCTATTACAATGGTCCACAAAGAAGACGACAATTGCTTGCTTTCTGGTGATGAAAAGATTGCCCAAGTCCTGAAGGAGGAAAAGGGAAAGAAAGAAAAGGAGTTAATGGTGAGGTTTTTTGTTGTTGAATGTTTGGTTTACCTCTTATTTGTGTTTGTAGTTCTCAAAATTTCAATGCTTGCCTATTTTACTCGAAATTTTATCACTAATTAACTAGCATTCAATTTAGATGTAAATGTAAATGGCATCTACACAAATGAAGGATTTTCTTCATTGTTCTATATTTGCCGCATTAGAGGGCTAACATTAATGATGATATAAATGCAATACGAGTCATAGTAAAGAGAGAAGAAATTAAGAATGGTTGTCTTAAGGTCCCAATAACTTGCTTACATTCACCTTTTACCTTTACAAAATACATTAATCTGGAAATGAATGATTATTCACTTAGAAATGGCACAAATTCCAGTAAAAAAAAAATGGATTTTCTACCATTTTATTAAAATGGGAGATGAATAAAATATTATTTGCTTTTTGGTAGTATATACCTGGTTCTTTTTTTTTCCCCTGAGCTATTAACTCTCTAAGCAACTCTACTTTCCAGAATACAAACTAGGAAGTTGTACAAATTGTCAAAATACATAAGAGTAAAAGATGAGAGCCCCTCATGTAATTGGTACAGAGTTCTTACTAAGGAGTGGAGTAGGATAGTTTCTTAGCACATAACAGATTGAAGTCACAAAACCTGATATTATGATAGTGGGAGAAAGTGCCACAAAAACCTAGTATTTGTGGTTTCCCTGCACTGTGTATTATATGTGAAAACACATAAATTGTTGATGGGACTCTCAGTTTTCAAGAACCCCTCAGTATCCTTTAGCAGTTTCAATGATTATACAATGCCTGTCTTCTTCTTTTGTACTCTAGTACACCATGCACATTTTTCTAATTCTAAAATACTGATTTTTGTGTATATGTGAAATGTTATTTTGGACACCGGCATCTTTATCTCCCCTTCACAA